CGTTAGCAGCTGTTTATGGTGAGCCTGCAGTGAAGTTGCATTGGGGAAGCTCTTGTTGAATATTTATCTTTTTTTGTTGTGCCCTTTTGAAGGGAACATGCACTTGTAAACGAGGTGGAGCTCTTTGCAAGGTTAGCTTAGAGAATTTAAGTTACCTTCTTGACTTTACTGGAAGATGAAAGTAGGTGCAGCCAGAATTAAAGTGGTGCACTTAACGTTCCCAAGGGAATTCTGTTTGATTGACTCCACTTGTTCTTCCTTGGCTGTATTCAAAACAAATTGTGAGTCCATTGTGTGAAGGACTCGAGGCTCCATCTTTGAGCTGTACCTAGGAACATTTGGTGGTGTGGTGATCCTGAGGAACGAGGGTGGAATGCAGTGTGCCATGCAGACAAGTCCTGTGTGCCTGTGGCAGATCAGACCCTGTTGGTGTTCAGGGGCACAGGGCAGTTGTGTCACCATCTCGGTGCTGAGCTCCGCAGTGTCCCTCCGCGTTCCATCATCCTTCCCAAACACCATGTGCATTCCCAGGGGACTTTGCCTGGCTCTGCATTGCACAGTTCCTTCTGGATAAGAACACAGCCAACTTGGGTTTGAGTTGCTTTGGAGACAAGGGGAGAAGGAGGAGAAACCATGGTGACGTAAGTGTTGTGCAGTGTGTGCAGTCAGTGTTCTTCCCAGCGCTGCCATAATTTATCTGACGGATCCAGCCGGAGCCTGGATGCTTTGGGAGCTTGTCCCACTCGTTTCCATGGTGAGAGGTGGAGATTGCTCCTCTGGGCTGTAAAGGACACTGTTGACTTCTGCATTTTGATATTTCTCTGGTGCTTTTTGAGCTTCTTGTTTCAGAGAGCCCGAGATGAAATCAGCTTAGTGCAATCCCAGGACTTCCCTCTTGGAAACTCCAATGGGAGATGCACTTGAAGGTATTTTTAATTTTTTCTTTAGCCTGAGCCCTCCCAAGACCATGTTTTCTGTCAGATCTCAGCCTCCAATGGGAGATGCACTTGAAGGTATTTTTAATTTTTTCTTTAGCCTGAGCCCTCTCAAGACCATGTTTTCATGCCAGTGGGAGCAGCTGTTGGATGTGATTTGTGGCTCTTCATTCAATCAGCAGGTTGAGAATTGTTAAGGACTTGGGAGTAGCTGTAAATCCCAGGAACCAGCCTCCCTGGAACTAAGTCAGAGCATCTGCATGGGGAAGTGGTGGGAAAATGTCCACTGACTTGTACTAAGATAAATTACTATTTGCTTCTTTTTCATTATCTCCTGAGCCCATTCCCATTTTTGGACTGCACGGGTCAGTGGGTCTCACTTGCATCATCTCCCATGAGCTGCTGACAAATCTGACACTAACAGTCAGGAAAATGTTTTATGCAACCTTGGGAGCTTTCCCAAACTACCTGTGAATGCAGAATCGAGGGGTGCTGCTAATTTACAATCTCTTTCAAATTTCAAAGTGTGGTTTAACTTTGTGACAGTTGTCAGTGGGTTTTGCTTTAAAAATGAGTCTGTATTTTCGCACAGTGTCCTTTGATCTTGACGTGACCTAAATAAAGGAGGAAGTTGATTAGTTGTAAAATGCTGTGAATGTACAAAATATGCAAACAGGCTGTAAGGGGGGGAAACAGGAAAAAGTCTTCTGTGCTTTAATAATCCGGTGATTCAGAGAACACTGGATAAAATCACTCCCCAGTCCCAAACCAGCATATCTTCATGCTGCCATTTCTTTAAAAAGGGGCAAACTAAAGCACCACCTCACAGATTTCAGCCTTTGGGCTTGAAATGGAAATACCTGGTTTGGGTGGGATTTTTAAGAGCACAATCACATTAAATCATAACAACTTGGACAGCAAATAGCACTGAGTCTGTGGAAGCTAATAATGTCCCTTTTTCTGTGGAAGCATCACAGAGGGTCATGGCCAGCATTGCTCTGTGTCCCATCACCAGACACAGGGTGTGCCCAGGCTCTGTAGGTCACCTTTACTCCGTGTCTGCAGATGATTCTCCTGTCTGACCCAAGAGCAGGAGAGTTGCCAGAGCAGTTCTGCGATGTCATGCTGAGATGGAGCTTCCCCTCCCTTTAACTCCACATTTCTGGTCTTCAGAACTGATCTGTTTGGTGAACTTGCCCAGCAGCTAATTAATTGGCTGTATGTCCATATTTCCAGTCTTTCTCTGTCCAGACAGGTGATGCATATTCAGTTGGAATCCATTTAATCCCAATCTCAGACTTGAATAATATTAGGTCTAATTACATGGTCTAAGATTTGATGTAAAATAGCTGCAAAATGAATATTGAATATTGTTGTTAGTACAGATTTGTGCAGATTTCAAAGCAAAAGTGTCTCTGTACAGTGACTGTCTGTGCAAGACACTTTCCCTTTCCCTGGTTTCACAGTAGATGGGTTTGGCTGCTTCCCAGGACTCAGGGCCATGGATCACACAGTGCTGGTCTGTGCTGTCTGAAGGTGTGAGTGGGAGGGTGAGTTTGGAACTGGAGCTGCTGCCCACACACCCATGGAAGCTGTGGCTTCACCTCGGTGGCCTTCCCTTTCCCTTGGAGGAAAGGAGAGAGGACAGACAGACAACCAGGAGGAAAAGCATGGAAAGGCTGCAGGGAGTTGTGGGAAACGACTTAGTGCAGAGGGGCTGCAGCTAAAACTCATCACGGGTTGATTTAATTGCTCTCACTGATTAACTTATCGCTGCTGCAGGGGAGATGATGCTCTGGTGCTGGTAGCTCTGCTTTTCTTTCTAAGCCTATAAAACTCTCCTGCCCCTCATTATATTTTTTTTTCTTCAGAGCAGCTAATCCTAGTGTGATCTTTCAGATGCAGGAGATCAAGGTGAAAAAACAATAGAGATTAATAGTGACAGCCTTATTCTGGTTTTTTGAACACTTAGAAACTAGTTTTTAAAAGACACATTTATTTGCAAGGACTGAGCTGTGAACATTTACTGTCTGGCGATGAAGTGTTTTCCTGTCCAGGTTACAGGTGTAAGGTCTCTGTTAGCACCCACTGTGAGGGCAGAGGCTCTGGGGTGGTGTGTGCAGGCTGTTCTTTCATCAGCTGCTGCCAGAGCTCAGGGTTTCCTTTGTAGAATACATTTCTTGAAGAATCCCTTCCGAGCTGCAGCCGTGGCTTTGTTCTGCTGTCACACTCGGTCGGTGAGAGTACAGTGATCACCTCAGACATGGGATGATGGGCAGAGCTCCTGTCTGTCTGAAGTCAGCTTTGCAAACGGGGGGATGTCACTTTGAAAATGTGCCACGGCTAAAATACCATCAGTCCTCAGAGTTAATGGTGCCCACAGTGATTGCTGTGACTGTGGTGCCCTGTGAACAGCCCCGTGGCATGAGGGGCAACTGACAGGCTGGCCTGGGCTGGGGGGGGACTCAGGTGAGCTCCCTCAGGAGCTCTAGAGAGGATCCTGCACAACTCAGCTTATTTCTTGTTTAGCCCCTCCAGAAACCTCTTTTTAGGATGTCTTTGGTCTATCATTTTCGCCCGTTTGCTAACGATGGTGATCCTGAAAGGACCTGTTCACTCAGCAGAGCTCACTTGGCACTGCTGCCCACATTCTTCTCGGGCACTGCAGTTAATCTTTGGCCCCTGTTACAAGGTAACTGAGAGCTCTGTTTGGCCCTGCACAGAAGTGGATTCCTTAAATGTCTTTTGCACCTTCACTTTATTTTTTTTTACAATCCAATATTTGCTTCTGTAGGGGTAAGTCAGTAGAAGATGAGTCCGTTGAGGTCACAGGTGAAGTCAGAAGGTTCTGTGAGTGTGATTTCCACACCCCCAAGGTGCTTTAGTGCCTTACCAAGGTGCAGGAGCACCAAGGCTGCTGTTCTTTTGGGAATAAAACTATAAAATTAAACAGAGGGCTGCGTTATGTTTAGGAATGACAGAAGTGTGTCACTTGCTCTGAGCTTATGTTCTACCCATTTTAAACTGGTAGGATCAGATTTTTGTCATAAAACTGCAAACCAGAAAGAGCCCAAGGCAAACCCTTGGGGCCCTTCTGTGGGCCAGCAATTACAGCCGTGGTCGCAGTGCCATTGCAGGTGGTTGTCCAGGCAACAGAGTCCTGACTCTTCAATTACCCTTGTAACCTAATTATTGTGATGGTTTTTACAAAGCTGCATATAGAATGGAATTTAGCCTTTCCTCCTGTAACCATTGTTGCCTCGTCAGGAGCAGTGGTAGCACTGGCAGCTTGGCAGCATGGTACAGTTAGCCATTCCTGGCTGAGTCTGAGCACTGCTGTAGGCAAGTCTAGTTGCATGAGGTTGTTCCACAAGGAAAACAGTTTTCCATGTCCTTGTAACCTGAGCAAGAAAAATCTGATTGTTTTCTCGTGGAATGAAACATTGTCCTTGTTATCTTGTTCCGTATCACTGGGGCTGGTGCAGGACTGATGCTGCTCCATCCCAGGACTGATCCTGCTCCAGCCCAGCTGAGGAAACTGGAGCAGCCAGAGCTTCCCTCATGCATTCCCAGTTCCCACATCTTGGCTCAGACACCCCAAGGCAGCCATGTCCATGGCAGCACCACGGGCCTGGCTGTGCTTACACCCCAGGTTTGCCTTTCTCCTTACAGCTGGTGCATCTCAGTGCCTTCTTCCTCTTCTTCTTCTTGTCCAGGGATGTTACAAATTCCCATGTCCCTGGAGGGAATGTACTAGCCCATTCCTTGGGACTCCACTTTTGTCTTGTAACAGGATTAGTGATTTAGGTGGTCTGAAGTTAATCCTTTAAATGTGTTAACTGCAAACAAATGAGTTCCCTGCGCTGGGTACCCTGGCCTAGGGTATAATTAGGCTTTCGATGAACTTAGGGCACTTCTGTAGTCCTGAAACAGAAAAACCTTTTGTGGCGTTTGCTGATCACACATCAGTGTATTCACAGAATTCAGCCTTTCCTATTGTTGATGTGCAGGTAACTCACCGCTCCAACTCCACTTCTGTTCCCAGACAGGGTGACTTGGGCCAGGATGGCCACCTCAACCCTGGAGAACCAGCTGCAGAGTGCCCAGAAGAACCTGCTGTTCCTGCAGAGAGAACATGCCAACACGCTGAAGGGGCTGCACGCCGAGCTGCGCCGCCTGCAGCAGCACTGCACAGGTACCACGGGGGCTGAGCTGCCTGTGCCTCTGTGCTTCCCTCTTCCCAGGGCTGGAGGCACTGCTTCCCACCCCGGCAGGGAAACTTGCCCACACCACCACCACAGGGGGGGGTTGAGTCAGCAGCCTGTCTTGGCGTGGTCAAAGCAAAGGGGTTTTTATGTTTCTGTTTAGAAAGTTGTTTCACACGTTGGCTCATTGGCAATGGATCTCCTGTTCTTGCTTGGGGTGGTGGGAAGAGTTAGTTCTGTGTTTACTGGAGTCTGTCAGTGTAATTCTGCTCAGCAGGTGGTGTTTGGGGTCCATGATGATGTTCTAACCCAAATAAACAACTTTTTTCCTCAGATTTAACCTATGAGCTGACTGTAAAGAGTTCAGACTTGTCAGGTAAGGAATATATGGCATTTTTCTTCTAATGCTCGTGGTCAACTTTGTCATCTGTTTCAATGTTTGTATTTTCTCCATTACAAGTAGGTGAGATACTTTGCAATGGGATGTCTGACTTGATAAATTCTAAAGGTATAATAAGTGTAGTTTTCTACTTTCCAGACTTACTGTTATTTATGAAGTAAACATCACAAGTTCTTTACCAAGGTCACCCAGGAAATCTGTGAAAGAGCCAGGAATAGCATGTGGAACTGCTGACTCCACTAGACAGTCAGTTCCCCATGTGCTATGTGGGAACACAGGACACAAATTTTAGGGGCAGAAGAGTGAGACTATTTTTAAAACTTAGCTGAGCTAGTGCTGTAATTCCACCACAAAGCTTTTATTTGTGTGTGTGTGTATATAGACACTAGATACTAGTTATTCTCCCTGTATTATGTTAACAGTGGGGGAAGTAACCTCCTGGATTGGGGATTGTGTGGGATGAGTATTAGCTGAATTTATTCCATTGGATTCCCCCGATGGCTTTGGGATAGCAAGAGAAGCCTATTGCACTGTTGTGTGTAGTGGCTGTTGTTACCTTTAAACACTTGTGCTTTTCCTGTCCTTGCAGAAAGTGGCAGCTCACGAAGCGATGAACTCAAAAGTAAGTGCAAAGACCTCGAAGCTCAGCTGAAAATCAAAGAGGCCGAAAACAGTGAATTGTTGAAAGAACTGGAACAAAAGAACGCGATGATAATGGTGCTGGAAAACACTATTAAAGAGCGAGAGAAGAAGTACTTGGAAGAGTTAAAAATGAAAAGCCATAAGCTCAATATGTTGTCCAGCGAACTGGAGCAGAGAGCGAGCACCATCGCCTACCTGACCTCCCAGCTGCACGCCACCAAGAAGAAGCTGCTGAGCGCCAGCGGGACCGCGGAGGGGACCCCGTCGGGCAGCCCCGTGCTGTCCGGCTACAAACCCTCCCCGCCCAAGGACAAACTGCCCGAGACGCCGCGGCGCAGGATGAAGAAGAGCCTGTCCACGCCGCTGAACCCCGAGTTCGAAGAGGCCTACAGAATAGGGTCTGAGAGCAGGAAGCTGCTGCTGCGAGAGCCCGTGGATGCCATGCCCGACCCCACGCCCTTCCT